TACTGAATTATCCTCCATCCTGTGGTGCGGCAGCTCTGATCAGCGCTGACATTTAGTACGGAGAGTTTTTCCAGAGAGTTGAGAGACCCTCGCAGGATTTACAGTCCGCGGTTCAGAGTGACGAGCCGCGGACAGGAGGGAATGAGAGGAATGCTTTGAGGTGGACACACACACACACACACATACACACATACACACATACCACACACCACACACACAGACATATGAAGAATAGTAAAGAAAAAAACATTGGAAATAAGTTAAAATAGGCCCGAAATGCAGATAACATATATAAATTAAAAAAAAACCCTTCTCATAGAAACACAGTGTAAATCACACACACACACACACACACACACACACACACACACACACACACACACACACACCACACACACACACACACACCACACACACACACACACACACACACACACACACACACACACACACACACACACACACACACACACACACACACACACACACACACCGGCAGACAGCACGAGGTGATTAAAGGCAAAATAAATCGGACGCTTCTTGTCTTTGGCGCAGGAAGACTGTAATCAGATTACATTTGTCTCTAACTCGTCACGGTTGAGAACAGCAGGAATGATATTACAGTTACTACGCACAAAATTATCTTACTTTAAGGTCTTCAACTATCTGCATAACAGGAGGACGGGAAAACAAATCAAACGTCCCTTTGAGGAGACGGAGAAGTGTCTCATAGCAGAGATCAACAGGCTCTGTGCAGCGTACATCGTGGAGGAAAAGTTGACGTTTGGGTGGAGGAATCGCCATCTTTCAGAAAGTATATTGAGCAAGAAACAGGTAACGGGCGGCCGCCATCAGACAGGAGAACTTCTGCAAGCTACCTGGACCAGAGTTATGATGGAAACTGAGCTACAGGTGTTCAAACTAAGAGTAGAAACAGAGGTGTTCAGTATCGTCCTTATTAGATTCAGGATTTGAGCCGATCTGGGGCAAAAATGAGGTTTAACTTGTGTTACTTATCATTTGATTTATGGTGCATCTCAGTAATGCTTTACCTTGTTTGAGTAACTACGAAGAGGAGGGTTGATTTAAAGGCCGGGCAGCGTCAGGGGTGAAGGAGAGGCAGCATTTAGACAGCTTGGAATAAAGAGAGCCCCTCCTCGGTGTGAAATGTGCCAACACGGTGGAAATGGAGGAGCGTTAATTCTGAATATAAATGTTATCTCAGGTCCGAACGCACATGTGGTTCCCCTCAGAGCAGAGGAGAATTTAAATGTGTTTCTACAACCAGAGAGAGTGGAAAATAAGGAGGAGAGAGGGCACAAGTACACACATCCTTTACTCAAGTAGAAGTACAGATACTCGTGTTTAAAAATACTCTGGTAAAAGTAGAAGTACTGACTAAACTTCTTTACTCAAGTAAAAGTAAAGAGGGCTTTGAAATGTACTTAAGTAGAAAGTACCCATAACTAGCAGCTGTTTTAAAGAGTACCTGACCTCCCTTTATATTAATAGAACAATAATGTCATTGTTAGCTAATGAATGTTTCCATGCTGAACAACGGCAACATGACAACGTTTTCATTGGTCCCTCTTCTTTAGAGAAGACCAGGAAATGATGGATACACGGATCGTGTTCAAATCAATAGGCACGCAATGACTCTAAATAATAATGATCACGCCACCAAACACACATTCAAACTAAAGTAACCAGTCTGTTTGGGAAATGTGAGAAGTAGAAAGTACAGGTATTTGGGTTCAAAATGTAAGAAGTAGAAAGTACAGGTATTTGTGTTCAACATGTAAGAAGTAGAAAGTACAGGTATTTGTGTTCAACATGTAAGCAGTAGAAAGTACAGGTATTTGTGTTCAACATGTAAGAAGTAGAAAGTACAGGTATTTGTGTTCAAAATGTAAGAAGTAGAAAGTACAGGTATTTGTGTTCAAAATGTAAGAAGTAGAAAGTACAGGTATTTGTGTTCAACATGTAAGAAGTAGAAAGTACAGGTATTTGTGTTCAAAATGTAAGAAGTAGAAAGTACAGGTATTTGTGTTCAAAATGTAAGAAGTAGAAAGTACAGGTATTTGTGTTCAACATGTAAGAAGTAGAAAGTTCAGGTATTTGTGTTCAACATGTAAGAAGTAGAAAGTACAGGTATTTGTGTTCAACATGTAAGAAGTAGAAAGTACAGGTATTTGTGTTCAAAATGTAAGAAGTAGAAAGTACAGGTATTTGTGTTCAACATGTAAGAAGTAGAAAGTACAGGTATTTGTGTTCAAAATGTAAGAAGTAGAAAGTACAGGTATTTGGGTTCAAAATGGAAGAAGTAAAAGTCGTCAGAAAAATAAGTAGTGGAGTAAAGTACTGATACTAGACTTTTTCTCAGAACTTAGACTTTTCCAATTTTTTTCAGAATTTTGAGAAGTCTAATTCTTCTCAGTTTCCACTTTTTCGAATTCTTCTCACAATTTCGACTTTTTTGATTTTTTTCACAGAATTTCGTATTTTTTGATTTTTTCTCAGACTTTCGAAAAGGTAACATTTTCCACAGAATTTAGAAAAAGTCACATTGTTCTCAGAATTTAGACTAAATACATATCTAAAGTAAGGAACATTTAAGAAGTAGAAAGTACAGGTGTTTGTGTTCAAAATGTAAGAAGTAAAAGTAAAAAGTCGTCAGAAAAATAAGTAGTGCAGTAAAGTACTGATACCAGAAACATGTACTTAAGTACAGTGACGAAGTATTTGTACTCCACTACTTCCCACCTCTGTTACTCTGTTAGATTGAAAGACATCATGATGCACCTGGATCTCTTTTACAAAATAATAACGATTATGTGTTTCGCCGTGTGTTTTTACCGAGGTAGTCGTCGAAGGAGAACTTGTCGTTGTCCCAGATCTGGACGGTGAGTTTCGGAGCCACTTTAGTCTCGGCTTTATCCAGACTCCAGAAATGTTCCTGCAAACACACAGAGAGAAATCAGAGGGAATACACGAGAGGATTTAACGCAAAGTTACACAAAAAAGTGCCTTAATTTAGCTTAAAATATTCAAGTATTTGACAAAAAACGTCTTCATCTGAGTGCAAACATTATTTAACTGTGACCTAATTTAAATTCAGTGTCAAACCACAATGATGTAATGGCTTTATATTTGCCAAATGTCTTGTATGTGTGTTATTTATTTATTTTTTAATCCTAAATACTTTTCTTTTCACCACTTATTTTATTTTGATATCTTCAATATGTCTGTTTTAAACACTTTTTGTTTGGTAAATACTTTTGGTATCCACTGTGAGGACAAAATACATAATAAGAAAAAAAGATTAGCTAATTTCTTCTTCTATCTTTTATTTCCAGGTAGTGCTACTAAAATAAAACCATAAACGTTATAATAAAACTTTAGATGACAACTGATGAGACAAAAGAGAGGCAGTCCATCAACACATCTCTGTGTGTGTGTGTGTGTGTGTGTGTGTGTGTGTGTGTGTGTGTGTGTGTGTGTGTGTGTGTGTGTGTGTGTGTGTGTGTGTGTGTGTGTGTGTGTGTGTGTGTGTATCCCCTCTTCACACTGAGCCTGCAGACAGTCTCTGATCTCATCTCGGTGCTATTGGTTTCTCCTCTGCTTCTCTTTCCATTCCCTCACCACTCCTCTCTCTATCTAATCTGTGCGTGTCACACTCTGGCTGTTGTTGTGTTGATAAAAAGAATATGGCTTTTCACACCTGAAATCAAATCGCTCCCATGTGACTCGCAGCAAAATGTCAATACGTGAGTGTCACTTTCCTTAAAGTACTCGGAAAGTAAAAGCTGCAACTTCAGATTAACCTGACAAGTCTGACTTTCCCCTCAGAGAGTTAGGACTCATTCTCACTGGATGTTCCTCTAAATCTTATGCTGGAAATGGCAAATATGCTTGACTATGATTTAGGAGGAAGATATGAATTTAAAAGTTCATATGCAGTGTGAGGTTTGGCTAAAATAAACATCAGATTTGTGAATAAAAATCATTTTTAGGTGTGTCTACATGTAGAAAATGACTGGTCTCTTCAGCCTCTGTCATGACTTCACACTCTCTATATCACAGACTAAATCCACATCATGCTCTCACACTTCACACACTACACCCTGAGTGTGTGTGTGTGTGTGTGTGTGTGTGTGTGTGTGTGTGTGTGTGTGTGTGTGTGTGGTCTGTGTGTGTGTGTGTGTGTGTGTGTGTTTCAGCTTCCTCTTTGTTGACAGGCTGCTAAGTACAGAGGCTTGTTCACACTCAATTCCTCCCTCTTCTCTTTCTCCCTCTGTGTTTCTTTTATATATAAAAACATTCAGTATGTTAAATTAATTACACGTTGTTTATCCGATGATCATGTCAATTTTTAGAAGAACTCATAAGGACAAAACAATTATCTTATTTTCTGTTAACCCCTTAAAACATCTGGTCATTTAATCATTTATCAAACTTTATTGAAACCAAAGTAAAAAGCATTTTAGTTCGGGGACTATTTTTCATCGGCAGATTAATCCCCATTTCGTGCTCTAGTGAATATTTGGTGCATTCAATGTCGAGGATGCTTCCTTGGTAGCACATGTCTTCCGAGTCAGGTCCTTCAGAAGCAAGGCAAGAATCCTTCCTAGCCTCTGAAAACGAAGAATGGTGGAACAGGCTAACAGGTGTGCAGGTGTGCGTCATATGCGAGGCCCCGCCTTAAATGGAGCGCGATTTCCACCAAAGATTTGGAAGTTGGTCCGTGCGCAAAGCATTGTGGGGATTTTAAGACCGCGGAGGATACACATGTGCAGGCTCGAAATTTCCCGCAACGAAGGACGCCGGCCTCGGTAGAATTCCAAGTATGCTGGACATTGGAACAGTCCTTCGGCGGCACTCGATGACGTAGTATGCTTGAAATAGTGGCTCTGGAGCAGCCTTCCTCGACATTGAGAAACACCCACTATATCTGCTCTAATGCCCTCCTTCCTTCTTCTTTATTTCATATAGAAGAAGGAGACTGCAGAGTTATTGATCTCATGTTTAAGAAGATTTTTAGACATGCCGGTACCTTCCTGTCGATCACACACAGCTGCTCTGCCGGCAGGAAGTGGAAAGGGAACAGGAATCTGAAGTTGAAGTTTCCCTCTCCTCCAAGAGAGCGATAGTGGACGTCTGTTTTCTGTTTGTTGTGTTCGTGACCGTCCATCCAGCTGAGAGAGAATCACAATAAAACATGAAGATCAAATACTTTTAAAAGGATTTAAACAAGAATAAATGCAGACAAGATGTACCTTTCCTTTTTTTTAAACGTATTCTTTATTAGTTATTTTCTCACATTCCCCTTTACATCCAATAATACTCCCAATGTAGATGAACAGTTTCTTTAACAAGGGTCACAACACGTATTAGGTCTCAAATCCCAAAAATTCAACATGAGAATATGAAAAACAAATAGAAATCAAATCAATAATAACACTTAAAGATAACGTAAATAACACAGGAATAACAAAAATAAAATAAAAGATGGGTTATATATACGGTCATCCTACATATTACAATAATACGGTCCAATAGGAAAAATATCCATATACCAGAATATTTCAGAAATGAAAATTCCTCATTTTAAAGAAGCCATATTCTCTTATGTTGGGGTGTCACACAGTAGTGTTAATTTTGTCAGCTAATTTTAAATGTAGTCTTAGTCTTAGTCCTGTGGCACAGGAAATGGAACTGCTGGGAAAAAAACGGACTATCAGAGATGTAATATTTCGTCAACGATATTGCATGTTGATTTCGTTACAATTATTGTTTAAGCCCGCATCACACTGTCCCGAAATTGACACCAGATGGACACACGATAAAGGAAATGTTCAAATTAGGTTCTGATCGTAAAACAACATCGGGCCATTCGTGAGGGCATCTCAAGCCATCGTATGACCGCCGGTGGAGTTTCTCAGGCTCCGGCAGCAACTTCGTGAGCGGTGGCAAAATCTTTGGCATGCCAAAGAATTGCCGAAAGACCTTGCGAAGGTTCATTGTCGTGTTGAATTCGTGTGTCCATTTTGCCCTTCGTAAGGCCAGCGTGAGGGCATCTTGTCAAATCGTGTCATCTTCGTCTTTACTTCGTGTGATCATCGGTCCATCGGGCATTTTCCGCCTCACGAAGACAATAGGAAGGAAACAAGAAGCTGCCCGATTGTCTTAGGAAGGCAACACGACTACGTGAAGCCCTCGCAATGGCGTCGTGTAGCCATCGTATTATAGTACAATTTGTGTTCTGTGAAACTGAAAAAGATATTCCATTGTTTTTGTTACTTTCGTTTGCAGTTGTCTTAAATGTAATTTAGGTTAACTTCCTGTTTTATTTAGATGCTTTTATTTTGAAGGCGAGTTTACGCTGTTGACAGGAAGTTGTTGTTGCTATGGAAACAACATGACGGAGTGTGTGGTTCGGGTGCCATCGTGTGACCTTCTGTAGGCATCGTACTTGCTTCGGCTGTTGCTTGGCTGTTGACCAAGTTCGGGGCCATCTTCGTGCGAAATTCACAATTCCATATTTCGTGTGTCCATCTGGTGTCAATTTCGGGACAGTGTGACGCCAGCCTTACTGACGTCAGTGCGTCTCGTCATCGTCTCGTCTTAGTCATGGAAAAAAAGGTCGTTGACGAATAAATGTCGTCATAGTTTTAGTCAACGAAATGAACACTATCACACAGTCCAGTTCCTTTTGATGTACCTTTTAACGTAGATGTCGCTCATCTTCTCCCCGGTGAGGCTGATATCATCCAGGATAACGTCGCTGGTGTTCCAGATGATGCAGCGCAGGAAAAACCTGAAGAAAAAACACATTTTAGATGCATTGATTGATGCATTTATTGGGATTTGTCTAGTGATTTAATAATACTCTGACACTGGTAAGTAACTGAGAAAATGATTGATATTTAGGAATCGATTGATGGACAATAAAGGCTTTTACACTCAGAGGAGTGATGATTAAACAACACAACAATGCTGAATATTTGCCTGGAAATATCGCATTTCTAAATAACATATTTATAGTACAAAAATAAAAACACCCGCTGTGGTTTAAGGCCATAACAGTGACGAGAGTAAAAAGAATATATGGATTGATTAAATGACTAAAGGATTCACTGAATAACTAAGTATCTAACTCATTCATTTATTGACATATCGATTAGTTGGTTCATTGAGTGGTGAACTAATTAACCAATGAACTGATTGATTGGCTGATCCACTGACTGTGTGTGTGTGTGTGTGTGTGTGTGTGTGTGTGTGTGTGTGTACACGTGTGTGTGTGTGTTTGCGCAGCCCTCCAACTAAGGAGTTGATAACTTTCCAGCTACTGAAAACATTTATTTATTCTTTCCTCCCTTTCTAAATAAATGGTCCTTAGCAGTCCGTGGGAGATATACTGTGTGTGTGTGTGTGTGTGTGTGTGTGTGTGTGTGTGTGTGTGTGTGTGTGTGTGTTCCTACTTCTTGGCTTTGCGTGGTG